ATCCTGCACATAGTAGAACATGTTCTGCTACTTAAGGTGGCACTTCACTTCCTAAATATATACATACCTCCTCTCCAACTTCCTCTTATTTTGTCTCTCCCTTCAGATTCGCTCCCTGACACCGAGCACACGAAATGCTCTGACAATAATTCAGCCACACAGCGGTAGCGATACCCTGACAACTTCAAATTTCAGTTGTGGATTGAAAATGATCTGGAGAAAATGCATGAGGTGTCCTTGTTTCTGTTAGCTTTGTTCCTAACCCTAGATGACAGCATAAGTGAACATATGGGCTGGGTGACATTCTGCAAAAGACACGTATTCAGTAGCATCAATATTACAGTTCTGAGCAATTCTTTTTCTTTTCTTTTCTTTTCTTTTTTTTTCTTTTCTTTTCTTTCTTTCCTTCTCTTTCTTTCAGCATATTTTTCTCCCCCAGTCCTGCAAAACGCATGCTTTCCTATTTGTCCTCATTCTTTTCAGAACATTGCATCTTGATTTTATTTTACTTAATGTGCCATATTTCTCTCCACAATAGAAGATTTTTAAGCTAAATTGGCACAAAACAAGAGCGATGCTGAATGCTTTTTGTTGCCATGGAAATATTCCTGGGCACTTACTGAAGACCTGGTTGCCAATAGTAATGTAACAGAGAAAATAGATACACTTCATTTAACAGCCACCAATGATTAAGAGCCCCCAAAACCTGTTACAAGGTCATCCTAATATAGACTTTAGAGTTTAAAAGACTACAGAAGCAAAGCCTTTTAGATGAACTGTGGACAACGCCTTTGTTACACAAAGTAAAGACAATATCATTGCAGTTTAAATTGATCACTTTTCTCTATTCTTTTTTTTTTTTAATCAAATATGTTTTAAATGAGTTTTGTTCAATCACATGGTTTTGTTTCCCTGGAGCCGGTTGCCTGTTTGCTAAATGAGGCGCTCCGATGGCCTCATTTAGTCCAAGCACAGGCATGGTTAGAAGAAGGTGTGTAACAAAGTGTTGGAGCGCTGAAATCTGGCCCTCAACTCAAATGTTGTGTGGATTACTACTGTACCTGCTGCCCCTCTGCAATGTAGATTTGGTGTCCACCGAGTCCTGTGCTGAACCACCAGGCACTAATTAGATGTCACTGAGTAATTACTGTTACAGACAATCACAGAGGCAAGTTCCCAGGCAGAGTCACTTCGAACACATTTGGCCACAATTTTAAAAACCAACTGGATAGGCTTGACCTGGGTGGGATGTTGTGGACACTGGATATCCCGTCGGTGTTAACAAAGGCTTGGTTGCCTTGCTGTATATTGTGCCTTTAGAAATAGTCTAAGTACCAATGCTGTTCTTCTGTGGCCTCAGCAGAAAACGGATGGTTTTACAGTGAATCAAAACAGGACTGATAGGGTTTAGGGCAAGATGTGGCCCACTGGGCAGATCTGGCCTGCAGAGCAGTGTCATCTAGCTTCCCACGGGTGTAGAAATGTGGCAGTGAAGCAAACAGTGACTGTTAATCTGAGGCTTGCAGACCCTCAGCAATTAATGCTGCCACTGCTCATCCTACCCCTGCATTTCTGGACCTGTGGGGAGCCTCCAGGCCAGGTGACACAGTCCTGCATGCTGGACTGGCACCGCACCACTCATCCAGCCCACAGACCTGCCCTGGATCTGGCCTGAGGACTGCCCCTGGCCCATGGGCATGGATGGGGTGGTCTTCGCTAGTTTGGGGGATTAGCAGTGGGCCTTTGCTCGCTAGGTTCGACACCAGCTCAAGCAGTGTAAATTGCCCGCAGGTAAGGCAGGCACCATTTAAATAGTACACGTGGCAGTAACTGTCAGGGACCCTAGCAGGCAGCCCAGCCTGGACTGATTGCCTAAGCAGCTCTATCTTGTCTGGCTGCCAAGCTCTACCCTGGCTAATTAACCAGCTGGTTTCTTCGTTGCCTGCTGGGAATGTAGCCTGCCCATCTAGTCCTACCTGTAGGAGCAGCCTCCAGACCAGTCAAGAGTCTCACCCATCTGCTGGCTCCTCTCTGGCTTTCCTGGTTCCTGACCCTGCTTTTGGCTTGTTCCTGGATTTTGGCCTTGGATTTCCCTGTGAATCCTTTCCTGGCTTCTGACCCTGGTTTGGCCTGCTCTCAGGCTGCACCCTGTGGATTGTCCCTTGGATTCGGTAACTCAGGATCCGATTCCTGGATCCTGGCCCTGGCCTGTGTTGTGGACTCTGCCCCTGGATTTTCCTGGTAATCCGGCTCCTGAATTCTGACCCAGCCCCTGACCCCCAGCCTATCCTCAATGGCCCAACCATTAGGCAAAACTGCCTACTCCC